GTAAGACAATCAAACTGTGCCTACAAAGATATTTTTTCCTGGTATTCATATCTAAAGCATCTTACATGTGGAATCAAAATTGCACAAACGTTAGTTGCACAAATCAGAACACTTCATTCCAAATACTAAATCCTCTGCATATTATCTAAGTGAACCTATCAAAATTTGACTACTCTGTGCTTCAAATTACAACTAAGTTACAAGCACACTTCAGAAATATTGTGGACTCAGTTCCAGACCATCACAATAAAATAATTATTGTAATAAAGTGAGTCACACTAATTATTTGGTTTCCTAGTGCATATACAAGTTATATTTACCATAAACTGTAGCCTATTAAGTATACAACAGCATTATGTTTATAAATGTACATACTTTAATTAAAAAATACTTTATTGGCCAGGCGCAGTGGCTCACACCTGTAATCCCAGCACTTTGGGAGGCTGACGTGGTAGATCACGAGGTCAGGAGTTCGAGACCAGTCTGACAAACATTGTGAAACCCTGGCACTACTAAAAAATACAAAAATTAGACAACCATGGTGGTGGGAGCCTGTAATCCGAGCTACTTGGGGCAGGAAAATCACATGAACCTGGGAGGCAGAGGTTGCAGTGAGCCAAGATCGTGCACTGCACTCCAGCCTGGGTGACAGAGTGAGACTCTATCTCAAAATAAATAAATAAATAAAAAGTAAATAAAATAAAAAATACTTTATTGCTAAAAATGATAATGATTATCTGAGTGTTTAGTGAGTAGAAATCTTTTTGCTGGTGGAGGGTCGTGCCTTGATGTTGATGGATGCTGACTGATCAGAGTGGTGTTTGCTGAAGAATGGGGAAGATGTGGCTATTTTTAAAATAAGATAACAATGGGCTGGCTGTGGTAGTTCACACTTGTAATCTCAGCACTTTGAGAGGCCGAGGCTGGCAGATTGCGAGGTCAAGAGATCGAGACCATCCTGGCCAACATGGCGAAACCTCACCTCTACTAAAAATACAAAAATTAGCTAGGGGTGGTGGTGCATGCCTGTAGTCCCAGCTACTTGGAAGGCTGAGGCAGGAGAGTCACTTGAACCCGGGAGGCGGAGGTTGCAGTGAACTGAGATCATGCCACTGCACTTCCGCCTGGCGGCAGAGAGAGACTGTCTCTCAAAAAGAAGACAACAGTGGGGATTGTGGCATCAATTTATTCTTCCTTTTATGAAATTTTTATCTATAACTTGTAGTAGTGTTAAATAGCATTTTACCCATAGCAAACTTCTTTCAAAATTGGAGTCGATCCTCTCAAATCCTGCTACTGCTTTATCAACTAAGTTCAGGCAATATTTGAAATCCTTTGTTATTATTTCAACAATGTTCACAGCATCTTCACCAGGAGTAGTATCTGTCTCAAGAAGCCATTTTATTTGCTCACTGATAAGAAGCAACTTTTCATCCGTTCATTCCTCATGAGATGGCATCAATTCAGCCACATCGTCAGGCACCACTTCCAGTTCTAGTTCTCTTGCTATTCCCACCACATCTGCAGTTACTTCTGCCACTGAAGTCTTGAACCGCTCGAAGTCATCCAGGAAGGTTGGAGTCAACTTCTTCCAAGCACCTGTTTATGCTGATACTTTGACTCCTTCCATGAATCACAAATCTTTTTAATGACATCTAGAATGGCAAATCCTTTCCTGATGGTTTTCAATTCACTTTTCTCTGACATATCAGAAGAATCACTATCTGTGGCAGTGATAGCTTTACGAAATGCATTTCTTAAAGAAAAGGACTTGAAAGTCAAAATTACTTCTTGATCCATTAGTTACAGAAATGGAGGCTGTGTTAGTAGGAATGAAAACATTAATATCCTGGTACCTCTTTATCGGAGCTCTAGAGTGAATAGAGGTGTTGTCAATGAGCAATAATATATTGAGGAAAAGAAAAAACTTTTTCTGAGCAGTAGTTCTCAACAGTGAGCTTAAAACATTCAGTAAACCATGCTACAAACAAATGTGCTGTCATCCAGACTTTGTTGTTTTATTCATAGAGAGTAGGCAGGGTATATTTAGGACAATTCTTAAGGTCTCTAGGACTTTTGAAATCATCAATGATTATTGGCTTTGACTTAAAGTTACCAGCTGCAGTAGCCTCTAGCATAGAGTGAGCTTGTCCTTTGAAGCTTTCCAGCCAGCCACTGACTTTTCCTCTCTAGCTATAAAAGTCCTAGATGTCATCTCTTTCCAGTTCAAAGCTGTTTCATCTACACTAAAAATCTATTGTTTAATACAGCAACCTTCAAATATCGTAGCTAGATCTTCTGGATAACATTCTCCAGTTTCTAAATCAACACTTGCTGCTTCGTCTTTCTTTTTTTTTTTCATTAGAGAGATGGCTACTTTCCTTAAACCTCATGAACCAACCTCTGCTAGCTTCCAACTTTTCTTCTACAACTTCCTCACCTCTCTCCTCCATCATAGAAGTGAAGAGTTAGGGCTTTGCTCTGAATTAGGCTTTGGCTTAAGAGAATGTTGTAATTGGTTTGATCTTCCATCTAGACCACTAAACTTTCTGCATACTAGCGATAAAGCTATCTTGCTTTCTTATTTGTGTGTTTACTGGAGCAGCACTTTTAATTTCCTTCTAGAATGTTTCCTTTACATTCACAACTTGGCTTGCTGCTTTATGTAATAAACCTAGCTCTTGGCTTATCTTAGTCGTTGACATGTCTTCCTCACTAAACTTAATCCTTTTTAACTTTTTATTAAAAGTGAGAGAGATGCAACTCTTTCCCTCAGCAATTCCAGGCCTTTGTAGCATTATTAATTGACCTATTTTTAATATTGTTAGATCTCAGGGAACATAAGGAGGCTCAAGGAAAGGTACAGAGATGAGGGAACAGCTAGTTGGTGTAACAGTCAGAACATACACATTATTTGTTGGTAGTTATTAATTAAGTTAACCATCTTATACAGGTATAGTTCATGGTGCCCCAAAATGATTACAACAGTATCATCAAAGATCACGAATTACATATCACCATAACAGATAATAAAAATGAAGGTTTTGAAATACTATAAGAATTACCAATATGTGACACAGAGACATAAAATAAGCATATGCTGTTGGAAAAAATGGCACTGATATAGACTTGCTTGACATGGGGTTGTCACAAATCTTCACTTTAAAATATGCAATATCTGCAAAGCACAATAATGCAAAGCTCAATAAAACAAGATATGCCTGTACTCTATACCAATGACAGTATCTATTTCATTGAACTATTGATAAAAATCAAAATAATTCATGTAAAAGTTTTTGAAAATAGTACTTGGAATATAATGAATAATAAATAAAGTCAAGATTAAAAACATCAAAAGTAATAAAAGGAATATATTAATCCTTCATTGGGAGAAGCCAATGGCTCCATACAAAGAAATTTATCAGGGAATGTTCTATATTTGGGGAAAAGGGGTGTTTCTAAGCCTGATTTTTAGTGCTGATAAAATTTGAGAATAATTGGAAATTAATGACAACTTAAGTTTCTGTTACCTCGTTCCTAACATTAGTCTCTGTACATTTGGTATGCTTATGATTTTTTCTTCTGTTTCTCCTCAAGATAGAAGTGATCCAACTTTAAAGGCTACATGGGTTTAAGTTACATTAATTTTCAGATCCGATTCTCAGGTCACATGAGCGTCATATAAAATATTGAAGAATGGGGCTGTGACAACCCCATCTCAAGCAAGTCTATATCAGTGCCATTTTTTCCAACAGCATATGCTTATTTTATGTCTCTGTGTCACATATTGGTAATTCTCATAGTATTTCAAAACCTTCATTTTTATTATCTGTTATGGTGATATGTAATTCGTGATCTTTGATGATGCAGGCTCACACCTGTAATCCCAGCACTTTGGGAGGCTAAGTTGGGCAGATCACCTAAGGTCAGGAGTTTGAGACCAGCCTGGCCAACATGGTGAAACCCCATCTCTACTAAAAATACAAAAATTAGCCAGGCGTGGTGGCAGTCACCTGTAATTCCAGCTACTCGGGAGGCTGAGGCAGAATTGCTCGAATCCGGGAGGCAGAGGTTGCAGTGAGCCAAGATCAGGCCTCAGCCCTCCAGACTGGGCAACAAAAGTGAAACTCCAACTAAAAAAAAAAAAATTACATGTGTATATGTATATGTACATGCATATGTATATGTACATGTATATGTATATGCATATGGACTGGATAGTCTTCAACTGCCCCTGGGAATGCTCTCAATTCCAACCTGTGCTTTGAGAGGCTGAGCTCAAATGAATACATTATTAGGGCAAACAAACTTGGCCCCTGGCTTCTAGTTAATTCAGCCAATGGAAGGTGCTGGTGATCAGAGGTAGGATATTTATTCAATTGGCTGTCTTCCTGCCATGTGTTGGTGTGGCAAAGGATACACGTTCTCTATTTTAGTCCTGGGCCCTTGTCAGGCAGGTCATGCAGTTCCAATAAACATTTTCAACTTGATTCTTCAGGTGACCTGACAGCTTCCTCTTGCACATGTCACAACCCCTTTTTGGTTCCCTTAACACTTCCTGAAACTTTATATACAGTCCTTTAATTAAATTCCCTTAGATTACCCCTTGTGTGTGCCGTTTGTTTTCTGGGGGCTCGATTGCTAGGGAGAAGACTGATGAATCCAGTGAGTTACTGAAATAAAAGCAAACAGTGCAATTTTGCATATCGATGCTGTAAAGACAAGTGATCAAACAATAAGTGATGATTAAAGTCTCAAATGTCTGATGCTACTGTCACAAGATGTGGCAGAAATGGTCTGTCAACTAAATAATCCATGCTTTCCTTCTAGAGTGAAGTGATCATCAAAAGCTTGCTGTCCAGGCAAAAATTTTATTTTTCAGGCTCAAACTTTACATCCAAATGCGGGCATGTGTTTGGTGGATGTGAATGTAAAACCTGTTACTTACAGGTTATGGCTTTCAAGAAGCAGGTATAGATTCATCACCTTGTCTTTTCTAGTGAATAGAAGTCAAGGACTCACTCCAATGACTCACAAAATGCAAGAATCCCAAGTCTCATTTGGAGGAAATCTATCACTAATTAGGATTCCTGGAGAAAAAAAAAAATTATGTAAGATATAAACTTTTATTGTGTTAAGTTACTGATATTTTTAGGTTTACTTATCACAGTAACTAGCATTACACTATCAGATATACAGTAAGTAAATTTATTTTAAGGTTGACATTCCTTCCTAGCTTTGTTGTTTAAGGCCACCCAGTGATCTGACACTCTTTACACCCTGGTTTGCCCAATGTCAGTTATCTTTAGATCTTTACTATATAGGTCATCTCTATGCTTTATCTCCTATACCAAATGCAAGTGCATTCTTTGCACTATTATCTTTTTCTTCTGAACTCACTGCCATCACCTTCAACATCTGCTACATTTTGGAAACCAGATAAAAAATCTCTGTCATTGGCCAATCTGAATTCAGTTCTCTCTCATTTCCTTTTTCACCAAGTTGTGTTTTGGTTTAAACTTCACAAAGTTCTACTTTCTGAATGAAGATGCATCTATTCTACTCCTTAAACACCAACATATTTTCCCACTACTGTGAAAATGTAACCAATTTCAGTTCTTTCACCAACCTGCTCCAAACCACCTGAGGAGTTATTTTTGCCAGGCTCCTGTGTGGACTGCTTTTCTATCAAAGCACCTCAGACATGCATGAAGAAGAAATATACACCTCTCTTCAGTGGGATAGTCCAGTACCTGACACTTACCAGAAATGTCTGTCTTCCAACAAATGTTCAGGTAACCAGTTCTAACTATTTTGTGTGAGACTGTAGAGTTCATGTTTTTTTTTTTTTTTTCCCCTGCTCTATCATGAAGTCAAGATGTTTATTCTAACCTGAGATAATCTACTTAAGAGTACCGTAATGTCCAGGAAATGTTTAATGAAGTGGACAAGGAGTAAGCAAAGATGGAAAAAAGAGCAATGAACTTGATAAATATGTGGAACTATTTTTTGCTCTGTCTCTCTAGAAAAGAAAAAGAATACCTAGATTTGGGAAATACATGTAAAAATACAATTTTAGTTAATTGAACTACTATATAAAACACTCTGCAAATTATCTGGTAAATACTAAGAAATAAAAAGAGAAAGCATAGGTTGAAAAACTGGCGAGATCTCTTTGGCCTAGAGTTGTCTGCTACAGTGATTAGTTCTGTCTGTATCACTTAACACCTGTATTAGTTCCTGTCTGCTGGTGTAACCAATCACACAGACTTAGGGGATTAATAAAATGCAAATTTATTATCTTATGCTTCTAGATGTCACAAATTGAAATGGATTTCAGTGAGCTAAAACCAAGGTGTTAGGGATCTAGGGGAAGAATCCATCCCTTGTCTTTTCTGGTCTCTAGAACTGCATTTATTGTTTTCCTTGGCTCATGGACAACTTCTTCTATCTTAAAAGCCAACAACATAACCTCTTTAAATGTTTCTCAGCTTCCATCATCATGCCGTGCTCCATCTATCCAATATCCTACCTCTCACTTAAAAAGGACCCAGGTAATCCAGGCTAATCTTCTCATCCAAAATCCTTAACTTAATGACATCTTCGAAGTCCCTTTTCCACATAAGGTAACTTACAAGTTTGAGGAATTATGACACGGACGTGTTAGAAAAGGACATTTTTCTGCCTATCACAATATTCAAAAATAAATTTTAACTGTTTTTCTCTGATTAGTTTTTCAAATACAACAAATCACACATTTTCCCCCCTCTCTATAGAGTTGTAAAATTACCTTGGAAAACTTTTTCCTCTTCCAAAAATGTATATTTAAAAGTATATATTTAAAATGTGTATCTTTCTTTGATTCAATCGTGTTCAATTGACACTGAAGAGATGGGGAGATGTGAGACAGCATTCTTAATCTTAAAAGATAAAGCCAGCATTTCACTTATGAGAATCTCTAAAAGATTGTTGGAAACTACTGCATATAATTACTTGGTAAGGTGTGACATCAAAGATAAGGATAACAGAGGTATACTATTAAATCTGCTTAATTTGGCAATTTCCGTATCACATGTATTCAAGTTATGACTTGCCTTTCAATGCATCTGAGCAAAAGTTCTTTTTCCTTTCCTTTTTACACATTCCAGGCCCCAACAACTCTCCAGTAGAAATGCCAACGTTCATGCCTTCTTTTCGTCAATTTCAATCTATCCTTGTCCCATCTGTTTTATCCGCTTTCTCTAACTCGGTTTCATTTTTCCTATTCCATGGTTAGGAACATGGTGTCTTGTGATGGTGATTTCATGTATTTTCTGCTTGGGATTATTAACAACATCCATTTTCCTGGCCATCAAGTGTAAGTACAAAAAGATAGTTTCAAAATAACAGATATTGATATATGTATTATACACTAAAAATAGCTTATATATGTATATCATTATATGTAAAACTTCATAATTTATAAATGAATGGTAAATCAATTAAGTAATACGTGAATGAATACAAATGATATAAAACATCATGATATAAACGAATGGCCTTAAATTTAAATCATTGATAGAACTCTCTGAGCACCTGGATGCCACTTTCAATGATCTATTTCATGTTTTTTAACTCAAATCCTGTGCCATAGGTCTCTGGGAGAAACAATGAAAATAATAACATATTCTGATTCAATTTGTGAGTCATAGTAACATGTTAAACATGCAATTTGAAAGATTTCACATTCTGCTTTGTTTCTAACGTACATCTAATTTAAACTTGACTTCTGAAGATTATTTATATTAGGCAAGTTTCAATTTAAAATGTTTAATGCAAACCTGGGAGCTTTGTTCAACCACATTTAACCACATTGTTTTTTAGTTCAGCTGGAAGACATATTTTCATGTTTGGCAAGTGAAATTTTTATAAAATATAATAATTACAGAGCTTCAGATTCCAGAAAAAGAACTATGAACCTCTAACATCACACATGGTAGCACTAAGAAAATGTATGTTAAAAGACAGAGGTGAAGGGTATTGTTTGGATAGATGTTTCTTTCTTGTATGCCTTGGCAAATCCTATCTCTATCTAACAGGCATCAGCTAGAGAGGAAGAATTATGGACTCTGAAAATAAGGAAGGGAAAGGTTCAGATTCACATTCACAAAGTATGGGAAGTTTCATTTTGCTCATGTAATGTCATGAGCTTCCTTTTCCTGCTGGAGTTTAGAGGAAGGTTTTAAGAATTACTAAGAGCTTAATTGTTACTTTGTCTATCTCTTCAAATAAAGTTTCACAGCTTAACAGAAATGTTAGAACTTCAAGACAGCTTACTTTTTCTCTCTCTGCTCGCTTTGTGTCTTATTAAAAAATACATAATTTAGGCAAATGTGAATTCATTTTTTAAAGAAGCATACATCTTAAACACCTATTTATCAAACACAATGAAAACAATTTATATTTAAAAGACCAAACAGTTAAGACAATTAACATCTAATAATCCATTTTCTTCTGTAAAAACTGAGGACTTTTAATGACATGTTGCCAAGCTTTATTGTAATTCTACAATACAAGAATCTGTATTTAACTTGTGTTGCAAATATTTAAATATACTGTTTAAATATTAATTCTGTATGATGAATTTCAATGTTACTTTACAAATAATAATTATTTGGGTAAGATGATTTTAAAACTTAACATATAAAAACATTTTCAATTAAAAACAAAATTAACTGAACATGTAACATCTTGAAGCACCGTTGTCAAGTGAATGCAATATATGTAATTTGGCTTTTATATAAACATAAATCTACAGTCTCCAATTGCAAAATATTTTGTCTACTATATAGACAAAAATTATATACTACATAATAAAGATGATTCTAAAATTACACTCTACATTTCCCATGTTCTCAAAAGATTTGTTGTTCAGTGTATACATAAGCGTCTTCTCTATCTACTAAGTAAAATCTCTTCAGATGAAACATAAAAATATTGTTCCTAAGACAGTAAGTTATTTTAAACGGCATTAATTAATTTTGACCCAGCAGTATCACTTTGGGAAATTGTTTCTATAGGTAAACCTGCAATTTAACAATAGGGGGAAAAACATCAAATACTAACCACATTGATACGAGACCATGTAAATAAATAAGGGTACAGCACCTAAACAATAGAATACCATGAAGCAAGAACAAACAAACACAAATATTAAGTCACTATGATGAGGATAAAAGAAACATAACTAGAAAATGATGTGATTAAGACTTCCCATAATTGCTAGAAAATTCTTACAAATAAAAGTTTTTGCTTTCTTAATAGCTAAAAATATGTACTTACAAAACTTAGATATTGCTATACAGATGTAAAGTATATTTTCCTTTAGCTTTTGTTCAAGTGTGGTGACTGTCAATTAGTATTGTTGTTGTTTTCAAAATTATAATTTGCCTAGGTCTTCTTAAACATTCTTAGCACTTAAGGCTTTAAAAAAAAAACCAGTTACATAATAAAACTGTTGTGTTAAGCAATAAGCAGCTTCTTCATGTGAAACATTCTGTTTAAAAATTAATCACTTGCCCCCAGTAGTTATAGATTATGTTATAGCCAGGCCTTGAGTTGCAAAAATCATTTTTATTTTTTAATAAATATGCCATTTTAATTATGTTCCATTTTAAATTAAAATATTACATCCAATTCTCTTAACGAAAACTTGCATTGTAAGGCAAGTGTCAAAACATATTTAAATTATATACATATATATATTTTTAAATAGGACTATGTTTCTAGCAAAAAGTAGTAGATGAAAACTATAACCTTTTATTTAAAAGTATCATCATGTGAACATAATAAAAGTACTAGTTATAAATTACTCATATATATTACTAAAGGACAGTTCTTATCTATCTGACAAAAGAAGGACTGGTAAAATTAATTATATCATATTTATATAAAGAATACAATGCAGGCCAGGTGTGGTGGCTCTCTAATCCCAGCACTTTGGGGGGCCAAGGTGGGCAGATCATGAGGTCAGAAGTTTGAGACCAGCCTGACCAACACAGTGAAACCCCATCTCTTCTAAAAATACAAAAATTAGCCAGGCTTGGTGGTGGGCACCTGTAATCTCAGCTACTTGGGAGCTGAGGCAGGAGAATCGCTTGAACCTGGGAGGTGGAGGTTGCGGTGAGCTGAGATCACTCCACTGCACTCCAGCCTGGGCTACAGAGTGAGACTCCATTGAATAAATAAATAAATATAATAAAATGCCATTATTTAAAGAAATCTTCTAGAACCATTGTTATTGTTACAGTTATATGGAAAATACTTTTCTATGTATGTACATAGAAAAGGGTTTCTGTAGATATAAATGAAATAGTAACGGCTATTATTTGAGAGGTAGGTTCCAAAGCAAGTAGACTTAATTTTTTGCTTTCTTCTTACCATTTCACATTTTCTAATTTTTCTACCACATTATTTATGCCAACATTTTAATGTAAAAACACTATAAATAAAATATTTATAAAATAAAATACAAAATATTTTCTAAGAAATCAGCTTTTCTATTTGTTTTTACTGTTTATTTTCTTAATTCATCAATTAGGTACAATGTATAACATCATATAACAAATAATTTTATTTGGGGGATGTTAAAAGTATTGTGTTATTTTTCCCTAGGAAATTATATTGTTTTGCCTTTATTCCTCACTTGTTGCAAATTGATTACAACCTCAACCCCAATTAATGTGCTATATTTTGCTTCCTATTTAGGGGGAAACTCTGAAGAGAAGTCTTATTTCCCTTTCTCCAGTTTTATTACAGTTTTATATAGTATAAGCTGTTCAGATAGTAATAAACACAACAGCTTCTAAAATACAGCTAATCTAAAAAAGCATTTATAAAATTTTGTAATTATATCTTGAGTTTTTGAGAGGAAAATTATTTTTTGATGTCTAAACATGCCAGATTATTAATAGGATAAAAGTAGAGCATCACTGTCCTACACTCCTCTCTGGTTAGGTTCATTACTTTGCTAAAAAGAGGAAAAATAATCCAAGCAGCTGCCAGCCTGGGTTTTTTGAACTATGCACACATGCACAGGGCATAAACATCTGCTTTCTCTAGTCCATGGCTTTTGACTTCTGCTATTTCCTTCTCAGCAGCGATGTTGATAAGTAAAACAGATCAGAATAGGTAGGTATATAATTAATTGTTTTCTTTCTTCTTTTCTTTTCTTTTTCTTTTTTTCTTTTCTTTTTTTTTTTTTTTTTGCGACAGAGTCCTGCTCTCTTGCCCAGGCCAGAGTGCAGGAGTGTGATCTCCGCTCACTGCAACCTCTGCCTTCTGGGTTCAAGTACCTCTCCTGCCTCACCTTCCTGAGCAGCAGGAATTACACCTGCATGCCACCACACCCAGCTAATTTTTGTATTTTTAGTAGTGACAGGGTTTTGCCCTGTTGGCCATGCTGATCTCAAACTCTTGGCCTCATGTGATCCACCAGCCTCAGCCTCCCAAAGTGCTGGGATTACAGGCAAGAGCCACCACGCTCAGCCCAGCCTGTCTTGGCCAGATGTTTTTCGTGTATGATCTTGGTTACCTCCATTTTATGGTTAAAAATATAAAAATAATTTTACAGATTTGCCCATTTGTTCTCCTCTTTTGTTGTTCTATTTCTCTCTAAAAGATAGGATTTTTAATCCTAAAGGTCTGGCTGACATGAATAGATGTTTTTCCTTGTTTTTTAAATTCACTAATTTTTCTTGATGCCATTCTCTCTATACAGCATGTCCATTCAATAGTCACAATCCAATAATGATTAACATATCATCAACTTATTTTAAACCAATTATATAGAGTAGAATTATTCTGCCTGATTTCAAAGCCTGTATTCATTAAAGCTAGATGTATTAGTGGACAAAAAGACAGCTATAAAATTCAAAAAAGAATCCAGAAATAGACTCATACAAATATGCCCAAGTGATTTTGTCAGTAGTGTAAATCAATTGAAAGAAGGATAGCCTTTTCAACAAATGGTGCTGGAGAAAACAGATATCCATAGGGAAAAAAAAGAAAAAGAAAAAGATAAACCTAAGTCTTATACCTTATACAAAAATTAAAAGTTAACTCAAAATAGGTCACAGTCTTGTAGAGCATAAAACTGTAAAACTTTCAGAAACTATAGGACAAAATCTTTAGAATCGAAAGGTAGGCAAACAGTTCTTAGACTTATATCAAAAAATCATTATTGAAAGGAAAATTGATAAGCTGGATGGACCTCATCAAAATATAACATGCATAAGCTGCAAAAGACAATAGGAAGAGGATCAAAAGACACGTTACAGGCCAGGTGTGGTGGCTCACGCCTCGAATTACAGCACTTTGGGATTCCTTGAGCTCAGGCATTCAAGACCATCCTGGGCAAGATGGCGAGACCCCGTTTCTACAAAAATAAATAAGTAAACAAATAAAAGACAAGCGAAAGACTTGGAATAAATACTTGTAAATCAATATCTGACAAAGGGCGAGAACCTAGAATGTGCAAAGAACTCTCCAAACTCAACAGTAAAAAACTGGACCATCCAATTAGAAAATGGCAAAAAGACGTGAAAAGACATTTCACCAGAGAGAATATACGGATGTCAAATAAGCACAAGAAAAGATGTTCGATGTCATTAGCCATTAAGAAAGTGAAAATTAAAAATACAGTGAGATATTACTAAATAATCAGAATGGCTAAAATAACAAGAAACGACAACATCAAATGCTTGTCAAGCTACCGAGAAAGCAGATCGTGCTCATTCCTGGTGGGAATGTCACATGCTGTAGCCACTCTGGAAGACAGTGTAGCAGTTTCTTAAAAATCTAAATTTCACACTTCCTTAAAACACAGCAATTGCCCTCTTGAGCATTTACCGCATAGAAGTAAAAACTTACGTTCACACAAAAACCTGCACATGAATGTTTATAGTAGCTCTATTTGTAATGGCTAAAACCTGAAAACAACCTAGATGTCCTTCAGTGGGTGAACAGTTAAACCGGTAGTGGTAATCCATATCATGGAACTCTACTCAACAATAAAAAATAGATGAGCTATTTATTTAAACAACAATCTGCATGAGTCTCCAGAGGATTATTCTGAGTGAAATAAGCCAATAGCAAAAGGTTACATACGGTAAGATCCTATTTATATATAATTCATGTGACAAAATAGAAAAGGAACATAAATTAGTGATTGCCAGGAGTTAACACAGGGTGAAGGCAAGAGGAAAGTGGGTGTGCTTATAAAAGGGCAAAGACAGATCCTCCTGGTAAGGGAGGAGCTGAGTATCTTGATTGTATCAATATCAATATTGCTGGTTGTGGCATTGAACTATAATTTTACACACCTATGTACTTATATGGAACTGTGTTTAAATATATATGTTAATGATAAAAGGTGCAAAGCCAATGTAAACATATTACCATTTATGTTAAGGGGAGGGAGGGAATTTCATATTCATTTGCTGTCATTTGTAAAATTTCATTTTATTTTATGTGTAATATTCAAAAGCTCTCAAATAACAAATAAATCGGTAAATCTGGTTGTTTGTGGGGAGTGAAATCGAGTGAATTTAAAATGGGTGCAAAGAGATGTTTTACTCCACATCCTTTGCAGTGTTTGATTCTTGTACAATGTACATTTTAAGAGAAAACCCAAAATAATACAAATTTGAGTCTCAAAAATAATAGTATTTGTAGTTGTCTTTTGTCTGTTGAAGGATTATTTTGCTGTAAAATGTCAAAATTTTATTAGAAATGATTGCTGCCATTTAAAGTGTTGCAGGTGTCCACCATTGTGATACAGCAGCAAGAAAAACTCATCCAACAAGAGAGGGCACTCCTAAACTGTACACAATGGAATAGAAGCCATGCCCTTCAGATGATACACTGTCAAACCTTCATGCAAAATTTTCTCAGCTCAGGTAATGGATATAAAATCAGTTTCCACTGTATAAATCCAGATATATCCACGAATACCTCAAAAGAAACAGTGACACACATTTTGTTCTCTGCAAAACTGTGAGGATTTTATAGTAAGAGTGACATAATTTTGATCACTCTTCAGTTCAATCTTATTTATAACCTCCAATACTATGTGGAAACACTAAGGATCCAAAAGAATGCAGCTAAGGGAAATGCACTTATCAAATGCCAAAGAGGTTTGTGTGCAATTAGCAAGTCAGATTAAAAAATGCACACACATAAAAACATTGTTTTATCCAGTCATTCAAATTTGTAAGGGTATTTTAATTCTATCTCCAAATTTCTCAATATATTTAGATATTACTTTAGAGTCAAGTTTAGATAGCTTTGAGCAGAAAAATTCATTTTGAAAATAAGAGTATTTACCACAAGATTCTTTTATGATGTGTGACCTAGCTCTTCTTAAAAATTCTACGAACTTACTCTAGTTTATACTTTTATAGGCCTTACAAGCATTTTAAACCTAATGCAGTTATTTCTACCTATCGTATAGTTTGTCAAGTATTCTATGGTTACTTAATTGCCATTTCATAATGCTTGCACATATAATTTAGAGAACTAACTTTCCTAGAGTGGATACCATTTACATAATTGCCAGTGAGAGAGGTCAAAAGTCAACCATGGCTCCTTCTGATTAAAATTTAATCAAGTAAATATGTGAAGAATCAGTGTGTGTCCAACAATGTTTCTGTCTGCAGCAGGCCATTGCAAACTTAAGTGAGGCCCACCTCTGAGCCATCAACCTTGAATAGAATAACAATATCCATTTTGGAGACCTCCAAATCCAACACGTTCTCCAATGCCACAAATATCATTGTCTACACTATTTACACTATAACTCTAACAATGTTCCAGATATTGATTAGCATGGATTCCAAACAAAAGATGTTGAAGAGCTTTAAACAACTCAACATCTGACCCATGGAAGCTACTGATTCCTTAGCCTGAATATAGGGACTATCTAGAAACCAGAGTCGTGGAAGTTTCAGTGTGTCCTTCCTCCTATTAAACTACCAGGAACACTTGGTCAGATTCTGGATCTTTGATTCCCCTTTTACACATTTGATCATCCTTCTTTTGTGACTATATCGCTTCTTAAACCAGTTTCCATAAACCTGATTAAACATTAAGGCTTACTTCTAAGTTGTATCAGAGTCCTAAACTAACCATACTGTTCATTGATGTTCTTCTCCAATTTTCCTCACCCGCAGTTTTCAAATCACTCCTTAAGGTGGCTTACTTGTTCTCAACATTATGATGAAATATTTCCTTGTTTAGCTCTCAGAATTTAAACATAAATTCAAGGCTTAGTGTTCAATCCATTCAATGGTCCAGTACATTTCTAACTAAATTGGGGCGGTAAGACTAACAAACGTGAAACAATGAGCAAATAACTGAAGACAATAAACAATGTGAATTCAAACAAAGGTAAGATTGATAAAACTGGAATAGTCAGATCAATTATTATAGAAGAGAAAAAATTGTTAAATATATCCCCAAATTATTTTCATATTTAAGTTAAAGGCCCATTGCAGGTAGAAATTATTACATGTATCTTACTATACTGAGCCTCAGAGAAGCTGAAATTGATAAGTACTACATCACATGAACCATTATGTTATGGGATTAAGCCTCACTGAGGGTGAATCAAGGGGTTTTTGGGGGGATATATGTTGTTACCATTTTACAATAAGTTGATAAAGTAAAATGTTCATATTCAAAGCCCGTAACTGCAACCCTTGTCCAGACAATTGGATTCAGAATGGAGAAAGTTGTTACTATGTCTCTGAAAAATGGGAGTATTGGCACACCAGTCAAGAGAATTGTTTAAAGGAAGGCTCCACACTGCTACAAATAGACAGCAAAGAAGAAATGGTAAATACTGCTTTGTGGTCTTATTCTGAATATACCATGTTACTTATTAAAGGAAATTCCTCATTCTCCTAAGATAAAATTCCTTAATAGTCTATAACAGAATATAATTGTAAAAATAAATGTTTAAAACGGACAAAGTTAAAATCCATATGTTTGTTTTCCTTTGAATGGGAAAACATAAAAACAGGATGGTTATCAGAAATTGAGAAGAATATGTTTGTTCCACGTCCTTGGTTAACTAAAAAGAGGAAGGAATAAGAATACTGTTTTGTAGCATGATAATCCATGTCAAGATATACATACATTATGGTTGCAGATATGTTTCAAATGTATTATTTTCAATGTTGTAGGCAAATATAATAACCTATAATAATCTTGTAATTACAAAGGAAAAACAGAAGTATAAAAACTGAAGTGATGTCACGAAATAAATAGATCTTTAAAAGTAAGTATCTGCTAAATGAAATGTTTAAGTGGCATTAAACCTAGTTTACCAACGCCTTAACAAGTGAATAAGCCGGGCACGGTGGCTCATGTCTATAATCCCAGCACTTTGGGAAGCTGAGGTGAGTGGATCACCTGAGCTCAGGAGATCAAGGACAGCTTGGCCAACATGGTGAAACCCGTCTCTACTAAAAATACAAATAATACGTGAATGTGGTGGTAGGTGCCTGTAATCCCAGCTGCTTGGGAGGCTGAGGCAGGAGAATCACTTCAACCCAGGAGGTGGAGGTTTGCAATGAGCTGAGATCACACCTTTGAACTCCAGCTTGGGCAACAAACATGAAACTCCATCTCAAAAATAAATAAATAAATAAATAAATAAATAAATAAAACAAGTGAACAATAAGATGTTTTCTTGAACTCATTCCACCCATACACATATATGAAACAGAATGCAAAATTATATATTTTGGGTCCTATGAAAAATGTATACCTGCTATATTCCATAATTAGATGAAGTTCATTTCAACAAAAATCATGAGAAAAGAATTTGTTAAGGATATGCACTAAACCAAGAACACTTGAATAAATCATTACAATTTGTTAAGTTGCTTCTGGAATCTCATGAACTATTTTCCACACTGAAGTATTCTGAGAAAGATTATTCTATGTGATCTATGATGTCAAGGATATTTTTACTTTTGACAATGAAGGTACAGTATAACATTTACCTTTTTTTGATATATTCTACCTGCCAGGCTCTGAATATGTTGAAACGTTTTAAATCCCAGTTGTCTATTTTTTTCATAGTACTTAACACCACATTGATCATACAGCAATAGAAAAGAGTCTAAAAAATGTATCTGCACTTTTTTTTTATAATACTCCCTTCTCTCTTTTTCCAGATTTCAAGTTCCCATTAATTTCTAGCTAGGTAAAATGTCACATTTTATATTTCACTGCAGTTTTGTTTGTTTGTTTTTCTCACTTCACGTTCAGGTCTTGTCTCTTACAGGATTTTATCACCGTCAGCTTGAGGAAGATCATGGGCAGCTTGAGGAAGATCGAGGGAGGCCATGAATACTGGGTGGGGTTGTCTCAGAATGGACACAGCGGACACTGGCTTTGGCAAGATGGCTCCTCTCTCTCTCCTAGCCTGTAAGTCTCTGAATGAAATGCTGCATGCAAAGTTAGAAACATGAGGGAATTCCAAAGTTTATTTTACCTTGTACCATGAATTTTCTCCAAGAGACAAGCAGCATGATAATGTTACAGGCTGCTAATTGGGATGAAAGCTAACAAAATTAAGAGTAGCTTCACGCATTCTAAGTCTTTCTCCTCCCCAGCCCTGCTGCTATTATCTTATAGAAAATGCACCTCACAATTTGAGTGTCTGATGAACAATATAATTATCAAGTGCATTTCTTTGGTATTGCTTAATGTTTAGAGAGGGCTAAGGGGAAAGGATTAAAATAACTGTTAATTTCCACATTAAGCTTTTCAGATGGCAGTGGGGAGACGGAGAAGCAGAATCAGGTGCCTTAGTATTTTGAAAATTAAGAGTCAGCAAAGAAATTATAATTTAGAGACTGTCTTTGGGTATCTATTTTATTTTTTGTCTTTACATGCTGTTTTTGTTTAAATTATATTAACATTCTTTGTTGAGAGAAGCAGTTACTGAAGGCTGACAAAACCACCACAAGAAGGTGCTATGTTAATACAAAACAAAACAGGCATCTCCACACCTCTCATTAGTTATCCCCAGGAGCATCTCTGAAACCCCCAAATCTAACCTCAGAAATGCTGACTTGCCTTTCCAGGTTGCCAGTAGAGAGATCCCAATCAACTAACCAAGTCTGTGGATACATCAAAAACCATTCCCTACTTTCGTCTAACTGCAGCAGTTGGAAGTATTTTATCTGTGAGAAGTATGCCTTAAGACCCTCTATCTGAAAGAAATTGTGTTCCAAGTGTTGTACTGCACTAATATTTGGAACACGCCATTGGAAACCACTCCCCCCCTCAAAAAAGTACAAAACTAACAGCAAGTAGAGCAGCAAACCAGTATGTGGGCAATGAAATTAGCAACCTGGGACTCAATGACACACTTGGGAACGTTCTTCCTTACTGTCCAGATTCCATTTGATGTTGTTCAAATTGCCAAGAATAAAACTTATTTAGAGCTAGAGGACAAAATCCTGAAGAGTTAAGAACAAATGCAAGGAAATCATTTTTATTGCTTAAAGTCCAGAATGACTGTAAATTTCACACAAAGTACAGATCTGTAAGTTGCTGGGGGAGGTGATGCAGTTACAGCTGACTAATATTTTTAAAATAAGTAAATTTGACCTTTTAAAGTCACTCTCTGCGAGATCTTTCTTTGCATTTTCTAGGTTTTCAGACATTATGTTATCAAAATGATAGGATAGAAGAACAGAGATATGAATTTCCAAATGGGAAGAAAGCCAGGCTTCTATCTGCAGCCTGTACGACAACGCACTGTTTAAGATTTGATTTCTACTGGAAAGACAAACTACTAGCATTTGACATAAGCAGAAGGAATTATCAGGATGCCATATCAGTGTGTTCTCCAGCAAATGCTGTGAATTCCGTCTTTCCTTTCAATGACCATCCCTGCCATTCACAAAGTAAAGCAGTCTGGCCTCTCAGGGTTAACACTCCAGCACTTTCAACTACATCTCTCAGTGCCTCGATTGCCTCACTGTAAAATAACAACAGAACTTACTTCAAAATATTGTATGCGGATTAGACTGTAAATACATATGTCAGTGCTGGGAATAGTCTTGCACAGAGTTGAACACTCTATCAGTGCTTGCTTTTGTTCTCTGGACTACATCACCAATCACCTCTGGCATCAACCTGTATTTGTGCATTCCAGGCAAAAATGAGCCCTCTTTTGCTCCTGTTGCAGGAATATTGAGAAGTTACAGTTTAAGTATAAAATGTCAGCAACTCTTTGGAGAAAATATCTGCTTTAAAGTTAATGGATTCTCCTCAAATAAATCTATAGACAGTCTCTGTCCTAAGTCTTTTTTTTTTTTTTTTGAGACGGAGTTTCGCTCTTGTTACCCAGGCTGGAGTGCAATGGCGCGATCTCGGCTCACCGCAACCTCCGCCTCGTGGGTTCAGGCAATTCTCCTGCCTCAGCCTCCGGAGTAGCTGGGATTACAGGCACGTGCCACCATGCCCAGCTAATTTTTTGTATTTTTGGTAGAGACGGGGTTTCACCATGTTGACCAGGATGGTCTCGATCTCTTGACCTCGTGATCCACCCGCCTCGGCCTCCCAAAGTGCTGGGATTACAGGCTTGAGCCACCGCGCCCGGCCTGTCCTGTCTTTAGGCTCCCTGAAGCATGAACTGTTTTATTCCCAAGAGATAATTCATAGCTAAATACCCTGTGATCTACAAAAGGAACAGATTCCTTAATTATTATTATATTACCTGTTACCATTTACCATCCCTACAAGAACACCTTACCACATAGTAGGTTCTCAATAAATATTTGCTTAATTCAATATGATTTTATTTAATTCTTCATTTCTCACAAGGAGGAGCTGAGATTCATTAGATTGTCATCTTTTCTTCCAAGCATAAAGGCCATCACTTAAATATATAAAGTAAAAACAAAACCTAATTCTCAGAGTCACTGGAAATCATTTAAATAAAATGAAACATCCTCTTGCCTGAAGGTCCTTTTACAATGGGTAAGGCTGCATAAGGATAAGAAGAGTAAGTTTTAGTTTATTTACTCTTGACCTAGAGTTTTCATTTGTGGGAAGATTAAGTAAAAGAGAATTTACTTAATTGTGGGAGTTTAGGTAAAAGAGATTTTTTCTCTAATTTTCTGCCTAACCTGAAAAAGGAGACTAGCAGAGAAAACACAGCATATATTGTCTCCTGTGTTCAGTTTTCACAGCTGACAGTTGGCAGCTGAATACAATAGCCTGGAATAAAGGAGAAACAATGGTGGAATTTACTAGCAAAGACTGTTTGCCTGAAAGATTCTTCAAAGTATTGTCATGGAGCTATGTTTAGAGAAAGGATACGAGGCATTTGTAATCATCCTTAAGAAAGTACAATGAAGCAAAAGGCAAACATCCTTCAGCTGATGTCATCCTGTAGTGGATGATGCAGTATTTACAAGTTAGAATTTATCTACAGTGCAGCAGACTTCAGCTCCTACAAATCTCCCCAGCAATGATGCTGCTTTCCACACAGATGCTATAGTTGGGGGATTCTTCTCTGCAGGTTTCTTTTGGTCCAGCAAAGCAAGGCTTTTTAAATACAATACTGAGTATACCAATCTTATATCCTAATCCTATCAACAATGAATTGGCCATCTTAGATTTCTTTCACTGAGTTCCAAGTTAGCCTTAAACAAACAAAAAGAAACCTAAAAATGAAACTGTCCTGCAAATGTGAAAAGTTTTTGTTTCATGGTTTGGTTAAAATATATTAAATGTATAAAAAATATATAATAATAATATTGGTAGAATAATAGTAGGTATTATTTGAGCCTAAAAATCTATTTGTGCAATAAAGCTTGTACAAAAGTCATGCACACTTTAAATCAGATGATCTTGCTGTTTGTAATCTTCAAAAACTGTTAAGAATTTCTCTGTAGAGGAATTGACTCTCAAATATTAAAGCTGGCCCTGACACAACGTGGTAGACTTCTCTACCTTGTTCATAATGTGTTTGCAACCTCAAAATAAAAGCTCCCCATTACCCTTCTCACACTTCCTGCTGTTATAGGGCTCACGGCCTGTTTCCTGTTGATAAATCCTGAGAGCAGGTTCAATATCCTCCAGAAAGGAAAGAGCTTATTGTGTACCCTGGGGATCTCAGCTCTACCAGGAAAGGCTGGGCTCCTCATTTGACTGTTCCTGCAATTTCTTCAGCGTTACATAAACAAGAACCTAGAAGAGAAAAAAATCTCCTCATGCAGAAAACCAGTTCATATAGTGCCCATCTCTGATTCTCAACTGGATATTGTTTTTAGCAAATCAGATTTTAAAATTCATTTTATCATTATTTCCTATTCTTAGTATCGATTTTTCAAAAGTGTGTAGTGAGAATGCTATGTGATACCCTTTTTCTATTGCTTTAAAATGTTTGTTCATATTGTGATCAATATTGTGAATTTTGCTATAAAAATGAAGGTATTGAGAGGAAAGATGAAAAAGAATAAGCTCAAGGAAGGAGCTGAAGTATGTCAAATGTATGCTATTTTTTTCTCCTCACTATTTAAAGTGACTATCCCTTAGTCTCAGACTTAGAACGAGAATATCATTCAACACTCACTCTGCAGGCAGCTGGACTCTTCAAATCAAGCACTTAAAAAGAGGCGTGCCATCCATCCCTGAGCCAGACTGCAGCTACATAGGATGCTAGGAGTCGAAATTTAAATGAGTGCATGTTTCTGTTTTACAGTTAATCCACATTTCTCCTATCAGCCATATTTTCTTTCTGTAGCCACAAGACTTACATACCAATTACTTAACTGCAGGCTTACTTCTCATTTCTTGTTGTGTACCTATTAGATAAACTACTTTCATTGAACGTCTGCACTCATCGTAGAAAATACTTGCAAATAATGTCCTTAGCTCCCCAGTATACATGCCCTTCTACAATTTGTTCATAAAAATCTCCAAAGAAGTCTGTTGTTATTAATAAATCAAGTTTAGCCTAACACTGCCTTCTTGTGTATTTTAAGATCAGCCTAAAGGTTTCTCTGTACATCATGTGAACTCTAACAAGTCGAGGTGTAAACAGACCCCAGCCTACACTTGTGCCAGTCACTGTGTTTTGGCCAATCACATGTAGCCAACTATTTGAACTGTGTTCAAATAAGTCAAGGGCCGAGCTGTGACCAATCCAGTTTTTCTGCACCTCACTTCTGTTTTCTATTCTATATTTTCCTCTTTCTGTCCATAAATCTTCTACCACATGGCTGCGCTGGAGCCTCTGAGTGTACTGTGACTTTGACCCTACTGTGGCTGCCCGATTTGTAAATGGTTCATTGCTCAAGTAAACTTTTAAATTTAATTCAGTTGAAGTTTTTGCTTTTTAACATTGTTCAGCCATGTGTGTGCACCCACATTTAAAAATAAATTACTAGAGTCCTTTTAGAAATACTTTCTTGACTTCCCTGGCATTTTATATTGCAATTTACATTATGAAACGGATTTCACATTTACCTCATTTCAGCTAACAGTAACATTAAGAGGAAGTTATAACTGTTTCTACTTCATATGCAGTGAAATAGACTTCATGAAGTAAAGTGACTTGCCTAATAAGTAAATCAGAATAAGAACTCTAAAATCTTCACTTTCTGACCAAAAATACAGTTTTCTTTGCATGACATAATGTATCAACAGAACGTGCTCAACACTAAAGAAAATTTTAAGGAAATCAACAGAAAATTGAAAGGAAAGTGTTCAAGGAAGAATTTGCAATAGTCTTTGCTAAGTGACAATCATACAAAAGGAAGTTTATGAAAATGAGCACCAGCGTGTCCTTTCTATCATATGATTGCTCCTGTCTGTCATTTTACCATGAGATAGATGTTTATGAAAAACACAACTGAAGTACTTCAATTTCCACTGTTGAAAAACAAAGATCTATAATGCTATCTTTTCTAGCATTAAACCCCCAAAATTGATTTATAAATAAACCAGTAAACTTGGTGGTTGCAATGGTGTCTCTCACAATGATCCCTGTTGCGTTTGTGCATGGAGTCATCTCAAAAAAGAAATGCCTCACAAAGGAGTAGCTACAAAGATGTCACTGTCTCTGTTCATGTCCCATGACCTGATTGGAAATCACGTGCACTAATGCAGCTCAGCTTACTCATCAACCATGTGTTAATGCCATAAGCCCTCCTCAAAAGATTTCATTTTAGGAAAGTGTTAAAACTGTTCTCTTGAAGACAACATGCATTTCGAAGATGGCTTATTTCCCCAAATAATCACGTAATCAATACTCTTGTAGAGTCCTCAAAAACTCTCAGTAAGGCGTCCAATCAAAATAATGATTGCTATCATATTTTGAAAAGCATTTTCATGCTGAATTTTCCCACAAATCATTAAGTCCATTGTGAAATCACACACACTTCACAGTATTTACATTTATTATTATTAAATCTTCAGTACCTCAAAGGTATAAATACGGGTCAACGGAAGAAAAGAGGAACTGAAATCAAAGTATTACAGGTGCAGATGAAGAGACTGACTTTTTTCTAGTCTTTAATCTCTTTGAAGGGAATATTGCGGACAGTAATCCTGGTATGGAAATAAGGGGATAAATTTCTTTCCTCGGAGAAATTCATATGGAAGATAGACAATTGTCAGGGTCTTAATGAACACAGGGAGGAATGTTTATAAGACACTGACATTCTCATAACAAGAGACTCCTGTTCCGAACCAGGCCATAGAGAAAGCAGATGGGGTCTTTACTGAGAGATTAAGAAGGGACTAGCATGAACTGAAACAAACATGAAGAATTTCTTGTGTATTTGGTGGTACAATCTGGGGAGTGACTGCTAATTTCTCATGGACAACTTGACTGTCGGGAAAAAGGATGTTACTTCCGTGTATTTCCTCTACTTCAAAAAGTTTCTCACTCCTCTAAGTATAAGGAAGACGTGGAAACGAGGTGATATTCGATGTTGAGAAGAAAGCAAGCTCAAAGTTATCTCTAAGCCAAGAAGGTAGATGACATTATGGGTTTCTGCGATTGTTGGTGGTATGTACATAAGACTTCTTGTGACTGTTAAAATATGGGCACAGACCCAAGCTCGGAAATGCTGGTGATCCTGAGCAGGAAACACGAGAGCCCAACTAGTACTAGTCAGAGAAATAGTCCTGCCTGATTCTGTTCCATTTCCCCACGTCTCAAGGAGCCCTTGCATTGGCACTGGCTGGCTCACTCTGCTGTCTGTAGTTGCGGCGAGGGAGTCAGTCACCTTCACCTGATGTTTCAGGGAGGAAACGGAGGCTCTCTGGCTTCACCCTCGCTGCCCTCCTCTCACACACACACCGCTTCAGTTCTTGGCAGTCCTTTGAGAAGATCATCCTATTAAGGATGGCCACACAGTCTCTGCTTCTTGGGCTGGTGACATCTATCATAACATGGAACCTTAAAAGAAGAAGAAAAAGTAAATTTAATCACAGTTTATTTCTAAAATAAAATATTAAATACCTATTCTTCCGAGGGTAATAAAATTATAGTCTAGATATCAGAATAAGTTTACTGGGAAAATGGGGTCATGTTCCTCTTTTTCATCAGCTCCTTCAGTTTTCAGACTCATTCTTAGAAACAACAGGTCAAAAAAATAAATAAATAAAATAAAAAAAAAAAAGCGCCGGGCGCGGTGGCTCAAGGCTGTAATCCCAGCACTTTGGGAGGCCGAGGCGGGTGGATCACGAGGTCGAGAGATCGAGACCATCCTGGTCAACATGGTGAAACCCCGTCTCTACTAAAAGTGCAAAAAATTAGCTGGGCATGGTGGCGCGTGCCTGTAATCCCAGCTACCTGGAGGCTGAGGCAGGAGAATTGCCTGAGCCCAGGAGGCGGAGGTTTCGGTGAGCCGAGATCGCGCCATTGCACTCCAGCCTGGGTAACAAGAGCGAAACTCCGTCTCAAAAAAAAAAAAAAAAAAAAAAAAAAAAGAAACAACAGGTCACCTAAAACAACACAAATCATCTCTAACTAAAATGAAGCTCTATGTTCTACTCCAAAATTACATGGGTTTGCTGCCACTTAAAAAGTTACCTACCTCCTCTGTAACTCAGTTTACTTAACTGTAAAATACAAATGATTACATCAAATATGTCCTGTCTCCTGGGAGAATTAATGCTATCTTATATGTAGGGAAGAATGGTATCTGTTCCAACATAGATTTAAATGTGATATATTTCTATAGAGAAATTACATTTTCTTATTTCAAAGGATACTGATATGATTTGGATGCTTGCTCTTTACAAATCTCAGTTGAAATGTCATCCCCAGTGCTGGAGGTAGGGCCTGGTGGGAGGTGTTTGGGTCATGGGGCGGGTTCCTCATGAATGGCTTGGTGCCCTCTTCTCGGTGATGAGTGAGTTCTCATTCAGTTAGTTCATGTAAAATCTGGTGGTTTAAAAGGGCCTGGACCCTCCCTCATCCCTCTCTTTTGTGTTTTCTCTTGCCATTGGACATGCCAGCTCTTGCTTTGCCTTCTGACATGAGTAAAACTCCCTGAAGCCTCCCCAGAAGCCAAGCTTGTACAGCCTGCAGAATTGTGAGCCAATTAAGCCTCCTTTCTTTATAAACTACCCAGGCTCAGGCATTACCTTATAGTGATGCAAAAATGGACTAACACAGATACCATGTAAACTCCTACCTAAATGCTCACAGCATAAGTACTACCAGTGTTTTCCACCACTGCTCGTATTTTCTGCAAATCTTTTCTCAGAGACTGCGTTTTTAAAGATGTGTTCCCTATTTCACTGCACAGAAAGCCAAGAAATCTTATCCTATCTCTGAGTATTGACAAGTTGCGTGACTTTAGGCAACAATCATTACAGCCTGGACTTCTGGGCTTCAGTTTACTCATCTATAAAAGATCTCTCTCTCACTATCTCTCTGTCTCTCCCTTCTTTCATCCATAATAAATACCAGACACACACTTATGAAAGCAGCAAGACAATTACCCTGATATTTTACTAATGCTATGTGTCTTTCCCCCTCACAGGCTTATAAGCAGTTCAAGAGCAAGCACTATCTGGGTACGGTGGCTCATGCTTGTATTCCCAGCATTTTGGGAGGCCAAGATAGGCAAATCACTTGAGCTCAGAAGTTCTAAACAAGACAGGGCAACACAGCATAAACCCACCTTTACAAAAAATACAAAAAATTAGCTAGATGTAGTGGTGCACACCTGTAGTCTGAGCTACTTGGGAGACTGAGGTGAGAGGAGAGCTTGAGCCTGGAAGGCAGAGGTTTCAGTGAGCAGAGATTGTCCCACTACACTCCAGCCTAGGCAACAGAGCAAGACACTATATCAAAGAAAAAAAATGAGGAAGCACTATGGTGCAAACATCTTTGGTCATCCTCCTGCAAACACAGTCTCCAGTACAAAGCAGAAGTTTGATTAATACTTGATGAGCCAAATTCTTGAACCCTATCACTCAAGCAAACTATCTTGTAAATGTCTTTCCCATAAAATATCCTGAGGGCTTACAGTTCAGAAGTGTAAGGGGTTCCATCCATCCACAGCCAGACCTTGCCACCACCAGGGCGGAATAGCCCTATCCAATAAAAGTAGAAAAACTCAGAGTAGCTCTGAGACATGGCAAACTCCTGTGAAAAGCACACAAGAAAACCTTTAGATCTGGTGGCATAATTACACACATGTAAAGACGTGCATGGCGCAGCCAGCACTTTTTTCAAAGCACAAACAAGTCCTGCTTCACATAGATGCTCGAATGCTTAAGAGAAAAAGCATCTGTCCTGAGGCCAGTCAGAAATTTATCCAAGTTCAATAACTTATTTTGTCTTAGTAAATATGGAACACATATCAATATTCTGAAAGCAGAAATCATATCAACCAAGATTAATTCCTGACCCATTGCTTTAAAGGCACAGAATTAAACACTGATATTGATATAAAAATATGAGGGAAAGATTAACATACAGACGTGGAATGATTCTGGGACATGGAAGAATATGGAGGGAAAATGCAGGAATGAGGTAGTAACTTTTATAAATACCTGGGAAAGGAAGGAAAAAAGTAAATGAAAAATTTGCAAGGATGATTTATGCCTTAGACTAGGAAGGGAAGAAAGAAATTTTTAAATTTCGATTTATAAATATTTATGAGCACACATATGTATAGTCCTATACAGGGTAATTCTTTTCCTAATACCCATATTTAACATGTTTACATTTTAAAAGTTATTTTTTTTTTTTTTTTTTTTTTTGAGACAGAGTTACGCTCTTGTTACCCAGGCTGGAGTGCAATGGCGCGATCTCGGCTCACCACAACCTCCGCCTCCCGGGTTCAGGCAATTCTCCTGCCTCAGCCTCCTGAGTAGCTGGGATTACAGGCACGAGCCACCATGCCCAGCTAATTTTTTTTTGTATTTTTAGTAGAGACGGGGTTTCACCATGTTGACCAGGATGGTCTCGATTTCTCGACCTCGTGATCCACCCGCCTCGGCCTCCCAAAGTGCTGGGATTACAGGCTTGAGCCACCGCGCCCGGCTAAAAATTATTTTTAAATGCAGAGTGAGACTAGATACTTTTTTAAAGTTATTTTAAAAGTTATTTTAAAATGTATCTAGTCTTACTCTGCATTCCTAACACATATTTTTGGAGAGTTGGTGGGGGCAGGGTCTCACTCTCTTGCCCAGGCTGGAGTGCAGTGGCATGATCACGGCTCACTGTAGCCTCAACCCCCCAGGCTCAGTGCACTCCTAATATTTTAACAAAAAAATTAACTAAACATTTATTATAATTATCCATTTTGATATCTTTAGTTTCTAAACCATATTTATGGTTTAGTTTAGAAACTAAACCATATTTAGTTTCTAAACCATAAATATGGTTTAGAAACCATACAATGAATTTCTCAACAATACACTGCTTCATTGTTATATCCATAACCCTTCAGATAATTAATAAAATATACTGATTTAATGAGAGATTATTGGAAATTTATATGAAGCTGTTACCAAGCAATAGTCATAATGTGAGCATGTGAAAATAACCGTACTTGAAAATATTGATTCCAATTAAATAGGAGGGGTTCCTTCAAATTATAAGTTTTGAAAGCACATCATATGAAAATGATTTAAGTATACAGACATATATGAAGTTCATGATAGAAAACAACTACATAGCTTTAACAAGAAAATTTCTCGCTTGTTACTTGAATATGCTAAAAGGAAAAAGGAAAAAAAATAAAACAAGAAAATTTCCTACCACATGATATAATACAGTATAATTATATACCTGAGTCTGCAGTATATGCTGGAGGCAGAGAAAACAAAGAGAATAAGACAAATTAGGAGGGTTTATGTCAGAGCATAGTCTTAGTCAAAGAAATTACTTCACTTTATGCCTAAATTAAATCATCAAGAAAGGGTTATAAAATATTATTTTAGTAGGTGAGAGAAATTACAGAGTTTCTTTCATCACAGATTTCAGGAAGTAGGTAGAAATTAAGAGGTAATTAGAACAATGTTAAGAATGTGTGTAGTGAGCTTGGCATTTAATTCAATTAAATAATCCTTTCTTGATAACCTACTCTTCATCAAGAAAAATCTCTGCTAAATTCTAGGGAAGCAATGATAAATAAGCAATGGCCATACTGTTTGAGAACTTCAATTCAAAGGCAATAATAAATATGAGAGGAAAGGGAATAATCATATTTTATTAGTGTACTTTAACTACATGTTCTAACTCAATATATGTCAATTGGTAGTTTTATTGTCACATTTGCCTTGACCAGTCTATCCTAGGCTGTGAACTTCTGGAAGGCAAGATATATATTTGCAGATTACGGTAATAATTTAGTTAAATGTTTTCCACTTAAAAACTTTGCCACTTTTAGAATGGAAGAGCAGCCAGCACTATTTTCATGTTTCTGACATTGCATCAACATTATTCCTTTTCCACCCAAACCAAAAAAGAAAAGAAGAGATTCTACCTTTGCTCCCTGACTGAGTGGGAAGTTTAAAGTGATATTGCTCATGTTTCTAAGGGGTGAGTATTTGTGGAGAACACAACTCCTCTTATCTACTTCAGGGGACCATTCAAAGCTATAGGAATAAAACTCAGGCCCTGATTAAAACAAGTACGAAAACCTGTGGACCAATATTCTTGATCCTTAAGAATCTTCTTGCCTAGCTCTTTTACGGCCTCTTTTTGAGAATCATTCAAAGATTGAAAAGCCTCAGAGTCTTACCAGCTCTTCTTTTGTGTCTATCTTCAGCATGGTAGAGTTCTGACTAAGGCAGAAATATTTACAGTCCTCCCAATTTTTGCTGTCTTTATAAAACTGGTAGCAATTGTCTCCATGCCACTTCCATTGTTCTGGACAAGGGTTGCACCTGTGTGCTTGGAAAAAATTTTATTATTTTATTATTTTCTGCATGAGTCTGTTGTGTTCCTTTCTTGAAGTTATATAGTATTTGATGTCCCAAGAAAGAACAAAGTCATCTTCAACATTTAATGAATAGCCCAGGCAATGATAACTACGAATATTTAATGAACACCTACTAAATTCCAGGAATTATAAGTGGTGCTGAGATACTGTAGAAATTAAAACACACACTAACTGCTTATGTGGAATATGGAATCTAGTAATAAATGACGGGAACTTTCTTGACACTTGCCTATGAAATTCAGAATACGGCCCGCCGTGGTGGTTCGTGCCTGCAATCCCAGCACTTTGGGAGACTGAGGCAGGCAGATCACCTGAGTTCAGGAGTTTGAGGCCAGCCTGCCAGCATGGTGAAACCCTGTCTTTATTAAAAATACAAAAAAAAAATTAGCTGGGAGCCTATAATCCCAGCTACTAGGGAGGCTGAGGCAGGAGAATCACTTGAACCCAGGAGACGGAGGTTGCAGAGAGCCACAATTGCACCAATAGCACTCCAGCCTAGGCAACAAACCAAGACTCTGCCTCAAAAAAAAAAAAAAAAAAAAAAAAAGAAAAAAGAAAAAACAAAATTAGCACATGAAGAGAATATCCAATTTCACAAAGCTGTTCATATGTACAGAAACTGCAACTGCATTGTGTTTAGGAAACAAAGTTTCCGTAATGTTATTCCTCAAAATTATCTTGCATAATAGTAAAATAAGTTTTAAAAAATACAATTATACCAATATGATATGGAATATTTTCTCACTCTAAACAAAGATAGATAACATTTTAAAGAAAAAAAAAATACTGAGGCAAGCATGAAGTTAGAATGCTGAATCTCCATGTGTCACAAATGAAGTTGGACATCCAGGCCACAGAAGTATGGGTAGTGACAGCACATACAGGATCCAGGCCCTGAGCGTCATAGTTTCAACACCTACGTGGATACATGACCTTGGGTCATTTAGAGTTAGGAACCTGTAATCCAGTCTCTTGTGGGTTTGTAGTGGGGTGAGAACTTGAGTCATATCCATAATAATTTCTTTATTTTAAAAGCAATCTAGTTAACATGTTAAAATCTCAGTGGCTAATACATAAGTAGGTATTATTGTTTACATCTTCGTGTAAATTTGAAATATTTCATAAAATAAAACAAAATGTGAAAATAATGACTTAGAAGGACATTTTTATCCTGTTGTGACAAACTTCCGGTGGCGCTCAGTAGCTTGTGCACTCTCTCAGACAGGTCTGCTTGCCTCCGAGTTCTGCTAGGAGAAATGTAACAAACCTGGATAGACTCAAGCACAAATAAAAGGATCCTCAGACTTTCTACAACACAGAACAAGAATGGGAATGATGCTGACCTAAGAGGATTGCTGTAAAGAGTAAATAAGGAAAACAGTCCAGTTCGCACAGAGACTGACACATACAAAGCACGCAATCAATGTCAGTTTCAACTGTGGTCCCCGTTGTTACGAGAATTTAGATGGGTAATACCTGCTTGGAGTGCTGTGCTGGAAAAGATTATGAGGCAGCAACTGGACTCAGCAAGGAGAATCTTGGTTCATTGTCATGTCTGCTCTGATTCAGTAAGTAGGAAGTGTGTAACTGCAATTTTGGTGCAGTGTATAAATACCTTAACCCCTCTCATGTATAATGTTTTCTTAAATACCTTCGATTTTCAGGTATAAGTGATCCTCTATGTGCTCTATGTAAAAACAAGTTCCATACTCATATGGGAATTAATATAAAGAGAAATTTTCAATGAATGTTTAAGAGGAAGCAAGGGACAATTAGATTGAAAGTGAGAGACTCAAGGACCAAGAGCCTTATGTGAAATAGGTAGTGATATGATGTAACCAAAGAGACAGAGATAGAGAAACCTTTTTACATTCTTACCTTCAACTAACTAAATATTTGATATAATATTATTTAAACCATTGGAGAATAAAAATGTAATATAGATCAGAAGAAATTCATTTATCTATATATACATATAGTTACAGGTATAGACATAGATAGATACAGATATAGATATATAAATACAAAGAGATCTACATATATCCTCCACTCTAGCCTGAGCGATAGAGTGAGACCCTGTTCCCCCTACCTCTCTGTCTCCCAAATAATATGTATATTTTTAAAGAAGAAAATGTACATTTTGGGCCAGAAAAAAATGTGTAGACTGAAAATGGACTGTTCTCAAATGTTCTGTCCATGGCATATACACCTAGGAAAATTAAAATACCAACTAATTTCTAAACTGAACATGTACAGTTTCTATGAACTTACTTTATCTATAAATTGCCAATTTTTATCTATATTGTATATTGCAATAAATATTTACAGGTTTTTAGGATCAGTAAACAATAATGTTCATATTAGCAAGAACAATACCCTGAAGGGCATTCCATTTCATAAATACATGAAAATATGTCATAAAAAAAAAAGCCTGATCATCTTTTTTTTCTTATAGTCCTTTCTCTCTCTGTTTCTCCTTTATTTTTCTGTGCTTCAGACAAAAGGAATGTAAGCCTGTTTACATGTGTGGCCCAGAACTTTTTGCTCATATATCTAACTCCCCAAATAGCATTCCTGGTTTCCAATTTCCCCCTTGTAGCCAGAGAATTCTTCTTCCTTTCACTTGATTACATCTCGATGCTTCTAGTTGTGTTGTTCCCCAATTCTGGAGATGTTTTGGAATCTTTTATTTCTCACACATCCATTTATAGCCCATCATGTGATTATTTCCATAAATAATACCCTAGTTAGAGGTATCATCATGTTTCTCCTAGATTTTAGTAGTAGCCATCTCTTATCTGATTTCTGTTGCTATTCTTTCCTCTTCCAGTCTGATTTTAACGTAATTGTAGAGTAAGCCTTTAAAAACTTATGCCAGATGATGTATTTCCTCTGCTCAAGATCCCATAATTAATCCACATCTTCTCAAAATAGTAGCCAAACCTCTTGCAAAGGCACCTAATGCTGGACATCATCTCTACCTAGTCTCCTGTTAGTCTTCCACTCCAAGCACGTGGGCTCCTCATTCTTCCTTGAATATGCAGATCCATTCACATTTTAAGCCTCTTGTGTTTCCTGCTTGACCTATGAGGCTTATTATTCCTCTCTATATGTACATGGCGAACTCCCTCAACTTTTCAAGTCTTTCTACCATATAATCATCTTAATTAAAGATTTATGACATCTCTACTTAAAGTAGCAACACAAACACACTACCCTTGAACTCTTTCTCTCTCTTGCCTTGTTTACCTTCATTTCTCATAGGATTGATTAATCTCTCATACCTTTTATTTTGGTCAATCATTATTGTATACCTGGCACCTAGGGTTTCCCAGGCTGTGGGATTTTTAGTACTAAAATAGGGAACATTTGGGGCAGACTTGGAAATGCTGGTTGATATAGTTTGAACATTTGTCCCCTCCAAGTCTCGTATTGGAATTTGATCCTGGTGTTGGAGATGGGGCCTAATGGGAAGTGCCTCCGGTCAATGGAGCAGATTCCTTATGAACAGCTTGTTGAGTTCTCGCTCCATTAGTCCTGGGAGAACTGATTGTTAAAAAGTGCCTGACCTGTCCCTCCCCAGTCTCTTGCCTCCTGACTCTTGCCATGTTACCTGCTGCACTTTCCCCCGTGTGTGGAAGCCACCTGAGGCTCTCAGAAGAAGCAGATGCCGGCACCATGCTTCTTGTATAGCCTGCAGAATCATTCGCCAAATAAAACTCTTCCATATAAATTACCCAGGCTCAGGTACTCCTTTACAGCAACAGAAACAGACAAAGACATTAGTTGTCTTTTTAAATGTTTTTCAATATACTTATTTCCACCACCCTACTAGAGTGAGTGGCCCATGAGAGTAGAAATCCTATGTGTTTTGTCAGACATGCATTAGTAGGTTTTCAATAAATACTCCAACTATACTGGCAGTAATACTAAGTAAATGGATAGATAAACACTACTTCAGTAGGTGGGTGGGTGGGTGGATGGATGGATGGATTGATGGATGGATAATGGGTAAGATGAGGATAAGAGATAAAAAGTAGCAGATTAAAACTGAGAACTAACATCTAACCAAAAATATGTGAGAATTTTTTATGAGAAGCATTAATACATTTACATGCAGATTTTATATTTAAATTAAATATGATTTATTTGCATAGCTTCTCTTTTTATTTTTTATATACCTATATGAAAATTTGAAAGATCATTTGTGTTAGGAAAATCTGGATTACCTTTAAAAAAATCTTTTTGTATGTGGCCGGGCGCAGCGGCTCATGCCTGTAATCTCAGCAATTTGAGAGGCCTACATGGGCAGATCACTTGAGGCCAGTAGTTCAAGACCAGCCTGGGCAACATGGCAAAATCCTGTCTCTACTAAAAAAATACAAAAATTAGCCAGGTGTGGTGGTGCATGCCTGTAATCCCAGCTACCCAAGAGGCTGAGATATGACAATTGCTGGAATCCAGGAGATGGAGGCTGCAGTGAGCCAAGATCACACCACTGCACTTCAGCCTAGGCAACAGAGCGAAACTCTTTCAAAAAAAGAAAAAAAATATTGAGATGATGTCTTACTATGTTGCCTGGGCTGGTCTTGATCTCCTCATTTCAAACAATCTTCCAGCCTCGCCTGTCAAGTACTAGATTATCTTTTTGAAGATATGACAACCAACAAAGAATAGTAGGCACGATGGATTGTTAGAAAAATTAGTAAATAAGGGCCAGGTGTGGTGGTACATGCCTATAATCCCAGCATTTTGGGAGGCCAAGCCAGGAGGATCACCTGACATTGGGAGTTCAAGACCAGCCTGCTCAACACAGTGAAAACCCATCTCTACTAAAAGTACAAAAAAAAAAAAAAAAAAAAAATTGCTGGGCATGGTTTTGTGCACCTGTAATCCCAGCTACTCAGGAGGCTGAGGCAGGAGAACTGCTTGAATTTGGAAGGCAGAAGTTGCACCGAGCTGAGATTGTGTCATTGCCTTTCAGCCTAGGCAACAGAGTGAGACACCATTTCAAAAAAAAAAAAAAAAAAAACACTGGTAATCCCAGCAATTTGGGAGGCTGAGGCGGGCAGATCACCTGAGGTCGGGAGTTCAAGACCAGCCTGACCAACATGGAGAAAACCCGTCTCTACTAAAAATACAAAATTAGCCGGGCATGGTGGTGCACGCCTATAATCCCAGCTACTTGAGAGGACGAAGCAGGAGAATCACTTTAATCCAGGAGGCAGAAGTTGTGGTGAGCCATGATTGTGCCATTACACTCCAGCATGGGCAACAAAAGCAAAACTCCATCTCAAAAATAAATAAATAAAAAAAAAATAAGGACATTATGACCATTGAAGTCATTAGTCATGTAGGAAAGAATCACTTAGAGAAATTAAAGTGTGCCTACTAATATTTTTTCCAGGGTAACCACACAATCAGGATGTCTGTTTCAGGTGGGAAGATAAGACTCTGGCCTCCTTTAGAGTTCCTAAAAGATAAATAAAAAGTGGGAACCTGAACATGGATGCCATTTCCTAAGTAAGCATCATAAAGAGAGCAGAAAAGAGAGCTGACTTGAATAAGGTAGATTATCACAAAACCTGAAAAGAACAGGAGAATGGGAATACACACACACACACACACACACACACACACACTGAAGTGATGCTCCTAGACTTGTCCAGCAGCATTTTCATCCACGGTAGTTCACCTACTGCTGCCACTGTCATCATCTGTAGTTCTTGTTAAAATACTAAAATAAAGTTAACTAAAATAAGTTAACCTGAATTAAAATAACTGGAACTTGATTCAGCTTGTCTATATTTTTGGACTACTCCCTGTATGATTTTTAAGATTTGAGAACTATAGTTATGAGTTTGCTTACTTCTTGCTAGGAAAGAATTTGTAAGAACATTTGCTGAGGTAGACTGAGACCCAACCCTGTATTTTTTTTACTCGTAGTGTTATTTTGGTTATTCTTAGGTAATTGTTTTATTGTTTTAAATGTCTGCATTTGAAGAGTCCCTTGATGTATGGTCTCACAGACACATATGAATCACATGATCCCAACAACTGATCATGATCTCCAAGCCCAAACCCTTTATTCAGTTTGTCAGACCTCTAGTTAAATAATATTTGACTCTCACTTTCGCTGGTGGGAAATCCATCTCTCTGTTGCCAAATAGCATGGGGATACAGTGACCAGGACACACTTACCTCCAGCTTTGTTATAGAGCTCACGACAGAGTTTTTCAGCCACATGCTGCAGGCTTTCTACAAGCTTCGTGTTCTGGACTTGAAGAGACTGAAACTGTTGGGAGATATTTCTGAGTCTTTCTTCCATATGAGAAACGGTGGCTTGATGAGTATTGGAGAGCTGGTAGTACTGAAAAACTAACCCAAATGACAAAGTCAAACTGGACAGCTTATTTCTATGTTTTATTTCCATTTTCTGCATATGCAGGAAGACAAAACAGTATATCTTTTAGTAGCATCTCAGGCCCTGAGATCGTATATCTATTGAATATAGATCCCTATATTCAAGTTTGGACTCCAATACATATATGAGAAGTTGTATCACCTTGGGCAAATTAATTTCTTTAAGTCTGTCTAAAAATGTGAAGTCAGGGGCATAAAACGGCAGGTAAGAGGGCTAAGGTGCAGCTCCCACTTGGACAACAGAACAGCACGAGAAGACTCACACTGTGAGCTTCTCCTCTAGAAACCACCTCAGGAACATACTAGGAAAGCTTAAAGAATTCACAGATCCTTTGAAAGATGCAACTCAATACTGAAATTTCTGCAAGACAGCCAAAAATGTGTGAGTGGGGGGAATACCTACCTCTGAACACACATCCATACTGGGGAACCTGAAAATCTGGGTTACAGGAGAAAGATTGAACCATAACTGAAGCAGAAATGGATGTAGGGAGCCGTGCAAAATATAAAAGTAGAAGAAGCAGAGGGAAGAGTTCTGTAGGCACTCCCATTTTCCAGCTCAAGCCCCGGGAAGCCATCCCTGACTTTGTCTCACACGGGTCTTTGGATAAGGCCACCAGTGGAATTAAAGAGGAATCACAGAGTGAAAGAAGCTAATGAATTCTGTAATAGTTTCAACTATGTACAAATTTTCTTAAGCAGAATTCAGGGAGCCAAGAGGAACCGCTACAGATATCAGCAGAGGAACTGTGACGGATGCTGTGGGAAGGTGAGGAGGGGTGTGGCCTGAAAGCCTGCTTGTTTTCTCAGTGGAGAGGCTTGTAGACTGGGGCAAGCTCAGAGCCCCTGGCATGGGCTGCCGGGATATAAACTCAATGTTGTTAGCAGGACATAAGACCAGCAAGATTTGCCTCACCAGCTATGTGGGAGCTGGGTAAGGCCTATCACTGCCAGCTTTCTCCCACTTCCCTGGCAACCTGTAGGACACAGCAGAGGCAGCCGTAATACCCTGAAAATCAACCCCTATGCCCCACAGCGTTCATGGCAAGCCCTGACCGAGGAGAGTGTGAGCTTAGACCTGCCTAACCCTGACCCCATGTGATGTTTTTTCTCTACCCACCCTGGTAGCCAAACACAAAAGACATAAACTCTTGGGAGCTGTATGACCTGCCCATCACCTGAGAAACCTAAATACTTATCCTGGCCAACTTAGAGCAAGCTTATATCCCCTGTCTACTACTGCAGCTGGTGCTCTCTTTAAAGCACCATCTCCTGGCTGGAGGCCAACCAACTCAAGCCATTACGGTAACTCATGCCAGAATAATCCTGCTCTAAGGAGGGAGAAGACAATAGCTAATTCCACGGCAGCAACATCCTGGCTAACCAGAACTCCTGAGTGTGTCCATCTGACAGCTTCACTGCTAGCATAACCAGCATTCAAGAAAACCAGCACAGGAAACGTATCTGTAACCAAGGACTCTCACAGAGTCACTTCACCTCCTTGCCAGCTTCACCAGAACAGTGCTGGTATCCATAGATAGGAGACTTGAAGATGGATCATATCACAAGACTCTGTAGACATTCTCCAGCACCAGCCTAGAGCCTGGTGGCATGACTGGGTGGCTATGCCCAGAAGTCACTCCTCTGGCTCTAAAGAAGCCTTATGCCTGGGGGAAGGGGGAGAGCACAACATCAAGGGATCACCCCATGGGATGAAAGAATCTGAACAGCAGCCCGTGTGTTCCAGATCTTTTCACTGGAATACCCAATATACCCAAATGAGAAGGAAGCAGAAACGTAATTCTGGTAATATGACAAAACAGGGTTCTATAACACCACCAAAAGATAACGCTAGTTCCCCAACAATGGATCTAAACCAAGAAGAAATCTCTGAAATGCCAGCTAAAGAATTCAGAAGGTTCATTATTAAGTTACTCAAGGAGATACCAGAGAAAGGTGAAAACAACTTAAAGAAACTGATTTATGGATCTTTCTTTCTTTTTCTCTTTTCTCCTTCCTTCCCAGACCAATTTTTGTTTTTTAATTCTATTAATGTAATGTATTAGATTTATTGACTTGTGTGTATTAAACCATCCCTGCATCCCTGGGATGAAACCCATTTTATCACGGGGTTTTATGTTTTCGATATAATGTTGGATTCAGTTAGCTAGTCTTTTGTTCACAATTTTTACATCAACGTTCATTTCTTATCTCAAACAGAATGTTTAATTCTAGCTGGCAACTGATTGTCGTATTTTAATTCTTCCATTATTCACCATTTAAATAGTTGCCATTCAAAAAAAAAAAGATAAACTGAGTTTTCCAAAGGTTGCAGAATTAAAGTTTAAAAAAGAAATCTATGACAAGCGTTTCTCATCCTAGACAAACCTTGGAACCAGGATCCTCCCCCAGGTCAGAGTGCAGACTTACACAAAAGCCCCAAGGCTGCCAGTCCTATCAGCAGCACCAAGCACAAAGTCAGCAGGATCAGGGCCACTGGTCGCCATGCTGAAGAGGGAGCCCTGTGTCCTGCAGGGAACAGAAGAGAAAGCAGGGTTTGGCTTTTTCTTCCTCTTGTATCTAAGTCAATAGCATGTAAGGGAGAGGAGTTGATTCTGCACAGGAACAAATTATGCTGGACAACAATAACCAGGGCCACAGAATAACTTGCTGTCTGTCCTCAGAAAGACCATCATAAGGCTCAATGAGAGCCTCACTTATCACAGCTAGATTCTCACAAGCCCCACCCATCTGCATCCGCCCCTCAAGTCTTATTTGCACTGAATTACACTATGCATTATCATCATCTTTACATGGTTGTTTGTACAACCTTTTGCTTGTCAAAATTCTAATTATGAAAGAGCTTGAGAATCTCTGAACCTCACCCAGGGACAACTTTTTACATAATCAGGGAAAAGATGAAATTAATTTGTTACTTTTGAAAAACATCTCCCTCCTCCCAAGTTCTATATATGCTTTTTCTAAAATGCAAATTGCATGTTAGTCATGGGAAGTAATAATTTTACTGTTTCTCTGTGGAATTGCTTCATTGAAAGTCCTTCTTTTGTAAGGATATTGTTTGTTCATTCATTCAATTTATATTTTTTCAAAAATAGATTATAAAGGTATATGATCATCAATTTCTGAAAGATGAATCCAAACTATTCTTGCAGCAGTTAAATAATCTTTTAAACTGTGGCAAACATGTTTTCCTTACCCTTCATTCCCATAAGTTTGACTAGTAATTGCAGAGGCTTTATTGCAAGTCATGAGTAGACCCCTCACCTAGTGAGGTCACCTGTCTGGGTCTGAATGACCTAACATATCTAACAGGGAAGATTCTCAGTCAGGTGCATCTAGCGTTGTGATAGAAATGAAACAAAGGGAGAGTGAAACCCTCAAACAAACTCTGATCTCTTTGTAACCCGTTAGTTCACTTGATTGAGAATTCAAGTCACTCTCTGAAACAGAAAGAGATCAGAGCGTTTTGTTATTGTTGTTGTTTTTTAAAGGAAAATTCTTTTTCATCTAGCAAGGTTCTCTATATAATACATTCTAGGTACAGAGATTTTCTAGGATGGAGTGCAGTGGCGCGATCTCAGCTCAAGGCAACCTTTGCCACCCAGGCTCAAGCAATCCTCCCACCTCAGCCTCCTGATAGCTGGAACTACAGGCATGTGCCACCATGCCTGGCTAAATTTTTTTTCTACACTTTTTTTAGAGATGGGGTTTCACCATGTTGCCAGGCTGTTCTCTAACTCCTGAGCTCAAGCGATCCGCCTGCCTCACCTTCCAAAGTGCTGGGATTACTGGCATGAGCCGCTGCACCCAACCAATTCTAGGTAAAGAGATTTATTTGAACATTGTTTCCCAATGGGGAATGATAACTAGTAAAGAATATACAAATAGACAATATGATTACTATCCTCTGGAACTTACAATCTAGTAGGGAAATTAAGTTAAAGTCTTAGAGTAGACATACTGATATACTTTTAAATGGGAATCTTATTCTTAGCAGTCATCTCCTTCATAAATAGCTTACATTACATTTAGAATAAAATCCAAACCCCTTTTCACAGATTGCTTTTCAAAATTAAAAAAAGGCAATTTTATTATGATGCTTTCCTACTTAAAAACTTTAAAAGCTTTCTCATTGAGACCTTCCTTAGCTCTTTCATCTCTTTCTGAACTATTTCCTCTCACTTACATGTACTACTCACAATGGCCTTCCGTTTAGTCCTTGATCTGATCAAACTTGACCCTAAGCAAATTGTTTCAGCCCTCCTTCTGCCTCTGCATTAACTTCAGTTTCAATGACACATCCTTGGAAGAGGTCCATAAATCCATCGCCAGCACATATAACTCACTCTGTGCTAGGTAACATGTTCATGACGTTTCTTTCTTTTTCTCTGTCTCCTTTCTCTCCATTTAACATTCCATTAAATAAATGATCTTGTCCATTTGTCCACTAGTGTATTTCCACTACTGAAAGTAGTGCCTGGAACATAAGGGCTGAGTAAATCTTTGACAGTTTAAATAATCAAAAAATGAAATTATACAAAATTAATATGACTTAAACTATCTAAGTTTTATAAGTGGGTTCTCCCATATTAAGTTTTACAGGTTTTCTTTGAATCTAAATCTATTGACTTTTCAGCAACATTTATGTCATCAGAAAACAGACTTAGCTATATACATCTCCCAGCCATGTTGGTTTCTATACACTGACTTTTGTGAGATTCTATAACATGAACAAATCTGAGGGAAATTTGCTTCTTCCCCTTGGTTTCTTTCAGTTAACTAAGCTATGTAATTTAGTCTTAGTTTTTCTGGAAAAGGATGGTTTTTCTTGCAGTATTGACTGTAAAAATATTTCAGATCAGCAGAACATTAAAAAAACAACAAAAAAAAAAAAAAAACAAGATTAGAGACAGAATATAGTTTGGATTAAGCATCCTCTCCAAAACCCTGTATTTGTAAACTTCCATATGGTCCAAGAAAGTTAACCCTATGGATGTTTCTAAAATCCATAGTTAAAAGTGCATGTGTAAGCCCACCGCCATGGTGATTTTATTTTTCCACATACCTCTTATTACCATTAAGTCTATTGTATATCTTTCTTATTTCATTTGGCTTCTATCTGTCTTACTCCAGAAAAAATTTAGCTCCTTCTTGGAAAATATTATCTGTCTAGCCACTATTGTAACTCAGTTCCTAGAGCAGTAGTTGAAATAAACTCAACTAAATTTAAATGGATGAATGAATAGGTCCATTATACACAAATATCTGTGTTATATGACTACCTACCCCTATTCAAACATAGTTACATTAATACGTATCTCATAATAATTTTTTAAATCCTGTTACTTCTTATAATTAATATTTGTCTGGCTGAAATTAGAAATAAGAAGTAAAGACGTCCAGGGGCAGTGGCTCGCACCTGTAATCCCAGCACTTTGGGAGGCCAAGAGGAGCAAATCGCCTAATGTCAGGAGTCTTGAGACCAGCCTGGCCAACATGATGAAACCTCGTCTCTACTAAAAATAAAAACAAAAAATTAGCTGGACATGCCTGTAATTCCAGCTACTTTGGAAGCTGAGGCAGGAGAATTGCTTGAACCCAGGAGATGGAGGTTGCAGTGAGCCGACACAGAGCCACCGCACTCCAGCCTGGGTGACAGAGTGAGACTCTGTTTAACAATAAAAAAAAATTAGCTGGGTGTGGTGGTTCAAGCCTGTAATCCCAGCACTTTGGGGGGCCAAGAAGGGTGGACCATGAAGTGTGTTGATCAAGACCATCCTGGCCAACATGGTGAAACCGCATCTCTACTAAAAATACAAAAAACTAGCTGGGCATGGTGGTACATGCCTGTAATCCCAGTCACTTGGGAGGCTGAGGCAGGAGAATCACTTGAACCAGGGAGTCAAAGGTTGCAGTGAGCCACTGCACTCCAGCCTGGGTGACAGGGCAAGACTCTGTCTCAAAAAAAAAAAAAAAAAAAAAAAAAAAAAAAGTTTCAAGAAGTAAAGGAGAAGAACTCTGACAGTCAACCAAATTATTTTTCTTTATAAATCTGTTTTCTGCCAGGCACAGTGGCTTAGGCGTGTAATCCCATCACTCTGGGATCCTCCCAACTAAAGCAGGAGGATTGTTTCAAGCCAGGAGTTCGAGATCAGCCTGAGCAACATAGTGAGATCCCATCTCTACAAAAATTTCTAAAAATTCATCAGCCATGGTGGCACATACCTGGAGTCACAGCTACTCAGAAGGCTGAGGTGGGAGGATTGTTTGAGCGAGGGAGGTCAAGGCTGCAGCGGGTCATGATCATGCCACTGTACACCAGCCTGGGTGACAGAGCAAGATCCTCTCTCAAAAGTAATAAATAAATGAAATGAAATAAATAAAACAAAATAAAATAAATCTGCTTTCCCTTGCATAATGTCGAGGACATGGGAGGTATTGTTGTTTTTCTGCCAAAAGGAACTAAAACAGTGAACTTAAATTCCTACTGTGAAGTGAGGGCCTAGACTTTAGAAATCAGAACATCTTTCAATAATAATTATATTCATGAAAAGAAAAAAAATACATGACCCTTCTTAAAATTGCCTCTAGGGCAAAAAAAAAAAAAAAAAAAAAGAAGAAGAAGAAGTAGTCTGTCTTCTGCTTTAAAATCGCTTCTAAGAAATCCTCTTTTTCTGATCAAATTTCACATTTTGAAATTTTTCTTCTCTTCCCGTCTCTCTCTCACTCTCTCACTTGCTTTCTCTGTCTCTCTCTCTTTTTAATACTCTCCATCTAATCATTCTACATAAAGACACAGAGAAACACAATCCTGGGGAGTTCATCTCCCAGGAAACCAAGCTCCCATGATAGGAAGTCCATGAAGTTTAAAGTTTCACTTTTTATTTTTCTGTGATGCTATTTTTCCCTCTAGATGTTTTTCTTCTAACTGTGAGTCTAATGTTTCTGAGTTTTATTCCAAGTGCCTCTAATCATACTGAAGTCTCTCTCCAGGGATCACCCTCACCCTAACATAAGGCAGCTTTTCACAAAAATAAGATGCCTGGGAGGTCGCTTGAGTTTGGCTTGGCTTTATTGTGGTTTTATTTTCTGGAAGAGAACCACTTTGCTGTTTCCTGAGGCATGTTTAGAAAGAGGTGTGGACAGGCCAAGGAATGATATAAACATCCCCAGTAATAATAAGATATATACAGAGGGAAAAAAAAAAACTTTCCTGTATCCTTTTACTATAACCATACTATAAAACGTCTCAGTGTCAGGGTCAGATTTTGAATACCAATTCCTGTGTGATTATACGAACTTTGTGGGTGGAGAGCTGTCAGACTTAACCAGTTACTCTTCATCAGGCATCAGCGAGGGAAAACTTTGTTGTCCACCCAAGAAACTAAGCTGCCATTACCATACACAGTCCCTTAGTACACGTATGAAATGCAAAAGGTCTTAAAAGCTGGAGAAGACACAGAGAGTTTAAATAATGTGCATGTTACAAACTCATTGCAGAGCTAGGA